TGCCATTTTATCTCGGTAATTCTACCACAGTCGATAAAAAATATTGGCGTTTTTACCAAGGTCCAGTAAAATTACCAAGAAAGTTCAATAATTTTACCGAGATTTCTCGGTAAAATTACCAATTCCATAGTTGATAATTTTACCAAGAAAAAGACTGGGATCAAATAGAACCCTGAATTCTTGGTAATTTTACCCTTTTCTTAGTAAATACACCGATATTTTTTTTTCAGTGTAATTGATTGCTGCTTGTGACGTGGGTCTGGACCGTCTATCGAACCTCATCGAGACCACACGACGCGGTGGTTGTGTTCACATATCCCACTGTAAGTGCATCCACGGACGAAGTTCGTAATAAAAATGATGATAATAATAATTGTGATAATTATCATCATCATCGTCATCGACAGCAGCACCATCGGGTGAGGAGGTCGGGGAGCGGGGTGAGGAGGGCACGGATGCATCTTTTAATAGAGGGGCGGGCTAAGGAAGATGACCTCCGTGTGCTAAAGGTCAGAGTGTGTCTGCCCAAGACCATAGCGCACTTAACATGTGAATTCTTACATGCCCGTTTATGCATCTCCCAGTTCCGACAGTCGGTCGTTTCCCAAGCGAAAGATCCTAACTGCATCTCAACATTGCCAAATGCCACTCGTAATTTGGAATTTTTCTGGGAAACCATCGGGTATTGCTAACTGGAAATGTCACTGATTGTTAGTTATCTTTCGATTTCACGCCAAAATCAGCCTGATTTCAGATGGAAATTGCACGGGCATATCTTCGTTGAGGATTCGATTGTTTTGGTCAGTTTTGGAGCCTTGAAACGGTGTTAGGTTCCCTTGCGAGGGACGAGGCACGGGTGACACCCTCCGTCTCTCTCACTCCCCTCGCGATTTATACGACGGATCGCGCAACGGCCTGATCGCCGCCCCTTTCCCGCGACTCCCTCATCATTCCTGTCATCCCTCCTCCTCCTCCTCCTCCCCCGCCTCCACCCCCGCACCCGCCCCCACCTTTGCGTCAACTCCCCCACGACGGATTATCGTCTGCATGACGGACAGGAAATGCGCCAAAATTGCGCCTCGCCTCCTTGCCGCGGACATATAAGGTCGTTTCCGGTGGCGTGGCGTGAATGATCGATTATCGATAAATCGCCATTTGAAGCTATGGTAAAGAATCGATTACTAAGGTGTTCGCTGCGAACACCCTAATAATCGATCTTTTTCCATAGGTTTGAGTGGCGTATCGATCGATATATCGCAAAGCACGCCACGCCACTGGTCGTTTCCTGGACGAAGGAACTTAACTCCAATCCATGGTTGGACAATTGACTCGAACAATGCGATTTTACACGAAAATGTACTTGTGCAATCTTTGTCCAACATTTTTCTGATTTTAACATGAGACCGGATGAAAAATCAGTGAAATTTTCTGTTAAATGGACCAAATTCAACAGAAAGAAACCGAGCCACATCACCTATTGCCAAGTTTAACTGGGCAATTAATTTTTTTACGAGAGAACGTTCGTTCGGATTTCTTTGGAAACGTTGAGGAATTTGCTTCGTACCATTGAGAATTTTCACTGAAATTTGCACGAAAATCTGCACAACCGTTTTCATGTGAAAAATTAAATCGCCCAATTAAATTTGGCAATAGCTGATGTGGCTTGGTTCCTTTCTGTTTGGGTAACGCGGTCCAAATGTGCCCGAGATTCTACGGTTAAAATTGCGATTTGCGAGGAGAAATTTGACAACATCGAAATGAAGTTATCTTCTTTCGTGGGGGTAAGGACAAAAAGAGAGGCACGCGATGCTGGGCTCATTCAAACCGTCTAAATCGGCCATCAACTTCGAACTGTCTATAACGCCCAGTTTCCAGTGGCGTGGCGTGAATTGCGATTTATCGATTGTTATGCCATTTAAACCTATGGTAAAGAATCGATTATTGAGGTGTTCGCTGCGAACACCCCGTTTATCGATCCTTTTCCATAGGTTTAAGTGGCGTATCAATCGATATATCTCGCAATTCACGCCACGCCACTGCCAGTTTCGGAACGTTCGGATCGCGAAATCGCTGTCGAACTTTAAATACAAAATGAATAAAATACAAATACAAATACAAAAACAAAATAAAAATACACAATACAATAATACAATAATAATATAATACAAATAAAAATTGATTCGGAGGTCTTTCTCTCCTCCAGCAGTGTCGCCCCACGTTCCCAATAATAGAACACGATGCGCGAAAGGAAAATAGAAAAACCCGACCCAAAGCGTGATTTTATGTTAAAAGTGGTTGTTCCGCGGCAGTGGCGTGGTGTGCTTTGCGATATATCGATTGTAATTCCATTTAAACCTATGGAAAAGGATCGATAACTAGGGGTTCGCGGCGAACACCTTAATAATCGATCCTTTACCATAGGTTGAAATGGCAGATCAATCGATATATCGCAAAGCACGCCACGCCACAGTTCCGCGGCTGATTCTCCCTAGAGTCCCTTTATACTGAGATTCAAGACAATGTGAATCCATTTCTGATTGGTTCCCGTATTTTAGGCCTCCACAGTGTCACAAACGGGAATAAAGATTACATTTTCACCGATTGCAAAGATTATAATCTGGATTGGACTAGGGAATTACGGGGTCGGCAAGGAACAAACGGAATGAGAAAAGGAACGAAGAAAGGAATCTGAGAATGGGCCGATCAAAGATTACAGAAGACGTTCAATTTCTGTAATCTTTATTCCCGTTTGTGACTCCATGAGGAGGTGTTGTCTTGACTCTCAGTATAAAGGGACTCTAATTCTCCCCGCTCCCTAGTTTTTGTCCAAGCTTCACTCCAATGTTGTCCTGAGTGTCCTCGATGTTAGGGCAAAATTTCAACGCCCTCGGATTATTAGAGGGGAGGGGGAAGCGTTTTTGGAGCAACATTTTTCCTTGAGTACCAATGTGCATCTACTTTCTCTGTTCTCCATAGTACAATTTGTGTTAACGCATACCCGTCATCAGAGAACACTAAACTCAAATGCGAGTCAAATGCGATTATATCTATAATTCGCGTCTGATAGAATTCGAATTTTATCTCAATTTATCACGATTCTTTGTTCGGTATTTCAATAAATCGACGGTTATAACCCACGGGGTCCCTTTTAATATGAACTCCCCCAATATCAGAAATGCGATTTCTAAGAAATCAGTGATGATGACCATGTAGTAAAGAAAATATCGGAATTCAAGGAAGAACAATAGTATACCTAGTGGGGTGAATTTGGCCAGACAAGGCCTAACTTCATTTCACGTTTTCTCGTGGGTCTTATTTTTTTAACAGACAACTGAACTATCTGATGTCTTCATATTTTCCACTGTTAATATACGGATATACCCCAGATTATGAAGGATGTATACTCAAATACAGTAGTGTTGCTTTATTCAAAACATAAAATATGAAAGGGAGTTGGGCAAAAGCTGATGTAGTTTGGATTATTTCGACTACCTTTGTGCTGCATTGTGACTAGTAAAGTACGTTTCTCTCTTACACGTTCCAAGACCTCCCTACCCAAGTAGCGTTTTTCAACGGAAAATTTGCGACATGTTAGAAATAATTTGCGATTCTGTCACAATTTTTTGGCGAAAAAATCACTAGGATCATCAAATTCTGAGCGATTATGCTCGATCTTGTCGCTATTTTTATGTCTATAATTCGCGTCTGATAGAATTCGAATTTTATCTCAATTTATCACGATTCTTTGTTCGATATTTCAATAAATCGCCGGTTATAAAATCGCTGTACTTTTTCCGATCAAATCGCAACTTATCGCGATCACTGCTTCTTGGGGAGTGCGTCTCTTCAGAGACTTGAACGCAGAGTTAAGAAAGTTAAAACACCTTCAATTAAGCCCCTACTGCCATGTCTGCCTAATTTTTGATTAATATATATGTTACGGGCAATAATTAGGTCTCGGGCAGAGACGATCTTTGCCCGGACATCTTCAGGACTGCCAGGTCATCGCTGACAGAGCGTGTGGATTCGATCGACATGAATCAATCGCAAAATAAATACGTTAATCGATCGACAACAATTCGGTCGACATGAATCAATCGGAAAAAAATAAAGTGAACCGATTGACATCGATTCGACCGAATATCTCCTATCGATTCATGGGCTTCGTCGATCGATTTACGGATTTGTCGATCGATTCACGGGTTTGTCGATCGAATCACGTGGATTGTCTCTCAAGTTTCATTTTTTCGTAGATTCATGTCACTTGCTGGGTTTTTTAATTACCTGCCGATCGAATCATGAAGATCGGTTCACATTTTTGCATGCTTTCCGATCGATTTATGTCGATGAAATCCATATATAGGTATACCTTCCTTCGGATTTTGGGCGGAATTGTGAGACCGGACACCGATTGAGCTGTATCAATTTGTGTCTTTACGAGAGTATACTCTTAAAAGCAGGACGCTCAAAATGTGTTTTTTCAAATTTTTTCAGTGAGACAAAACTCTTCTTCTCGCCTCTACTAAAGTTTGCAACAGATACCTATAATAACTTGCTGGGGTTAAATTCATACAGTTGATCCTTTTAACACGTGATGTAAAAAGTATAAAACATGAGGATATTTTGATCAACATTAAAGATGCTTGGCGCAGTCACGCCAATGATTTACGAGAGTCTGGATCGACCTCTCTTCCGCGCCTTCAGACTATACGAATTTTTTAAGTCAAATACGCCCCCCCCCCCAAAAAAATGTTTTCGGCCCCGCCCCGCCACTCTTTATGGGCGTGGGCACTGCCGAATTTCACATATTATAGGTCGTGTAAAACTGAAAAATTTAGGTTTGAATATCCCGTTAAGTTGGGACTCATGAAAAAGTACGTTTTCCGCACGAACCGATCTCACCTTTCCACAGCTGAAAACGAGGGCTAGTGGGTGGATCATAAGTCAGATAGCGAAAGAATGCAAAGAAGAGGGCAATACCAGGGCAGATGGGGGGGGGGGCTTAGAGGAGGAATAAACTTGAGCAGACTAATTGTAGGTTATGAGTTCTTGTGATTATTAACAGCAGATACGGACTTATCACTTCATAAGGCATAAGATTCGCCCCGGCCGGCCGGCGAGCGGTCAGCTAAAACTGCACCGATAGAGGGTTCTGAAGCAAGCGTCTGATTGGTCGATTCAAACCGGGCACGAGGAGGGATTTGTTACCATTACTCAAATGTTCCGAGACCTAACCTCGCTCATTACAAGCGGCTCTAGTTTATTGCAAACCTCGCGCGACGGTGGTGAGCTTGCGCTCTACCTGCGTACAAATCCCCGAGTTCAATCCGTGTTTTCTGAAAGTTTCCCAGTTTTCTGCTCCGAATTTTGATTCACCATTTTCAGTCTTAGTGTTATCTCTATCCTTACTAAATTTAGTCTTCCTTGAAAATTTTAAATTCATGATTATCAGTTATAAAATTTATACTCGGGTTTTTTCAGTGCCCTCTTTACAGTTTTAATTATGCAGAGACGAATCTTCGACCGAATTTTAATCGAATGGGTGGCGTGATTTGCTCTACAGTTTAATCGAATTTTCCTAGGAAGGCCTTTGTGTCTGGTTGGTACCTTTCGACTTCTTTACACACATTTTATCACACAAATATTAACTCAAAATTAATCGTTCACAAAGCAGTAAATACCTGAATAAGATCCAGAATTTCCTCTGAAAATCGTGTAGATCCAGTTTAATTCCAACACATTAATGTCACTCGTCTCATTTGAGCCATATTTTTAGTGACTTTTTTTTCTCAAGTACGAAGCACGATAGGTACATCTGCAAAAGTTTCGGCTTGTCATGTCTGCGTGTCCTAGTTCCAAATAAGTTTGGAAAATTTGTAAACAAATTTTGATTACTCAAGGAAAGTTTTTCAAAAGAATTTGAGATGAGTTTTTAAAAATTTGAAATTCTTGAGAAAAATTATGACTCTGCGGGCGTGCTTTCAAAGAATATTTTATAATTTTTCCGTGATTTTAGCCAACTTGTTCGAGTTTTTACTTACTTACCCAAGTAGCATTGCCATCTACTTTCTAGGTGGCGCTCATCAAGAAAATGTCTACTTTCCAGATAGAACAATTTTCTTGAAAGAAAATAGGTATAAAGTAGATCTAGAAAATAGACACAAGAAAATAGAAAGGAAATACATGTTTTCCTTGCATTTTCTTAAAAGAAAACATTAAGAAATTGGCTAGAAAATAATTCTACTTTCAATAAATTTTCTATATTTTTCCAAGTGGGAAGTTGACAGAAAGTAGACCTATGAAATAGATCTATTTTCTTTGGTCAGACTTTTGACTCGCGATGTTCTTTCTTTCTATTTTCTGGATAACTCTCATTTTCTTTGTTTTTTCTAGAAATTTTCTTAATTATATATTCTAGAAACAAATTCCATTTTGCTACTTGGGTAATATGCAGATTACCCTTTCGATTTAAAAAACAAGAAAGCTTTATTGTATGCGGAGAGAAATGAAGTTGAAGCATCTTGAAGCAAACAGAGCAATGTTCATTTTCCTGACGAATGCCGCAACGCTAGTGCTCCTGCGTAATCCAGGGTTCATCAGAAAAATGGACCTCGCTTTCTTTGCTTCAAGATGCCCCAGTTGTGAATCTTGTTGATTGCCATACTGCGGAACCAAGTATCTCCGTTTGCGTCGACTTCGTAGACGTCCGCCATACTTTATTTTTTCATCGAAAAACTAGGCAATGTATAATTTTTCGAAAATTTCCTTGATTTTTCCTATATGTCAGCAAAATGTTTTGCATGGAGATCAAGCTCTAGTTTGAAGATGGATGATTATTATTTCTTCAATAAAAATGAGATATGAGTGGAAATGTTAAAACAACGCAATGGATGCACTGGTTTACGACAGTCACCATCATTAAACGTTTAGAATCTCTTCGGAAATCTTCATGAAAAACTCTATAAAAACGTCTTTTTACGTGTTCTTGGCATAATTTCAAGTTTTTATCACAGTTATTACCTCAATTTTTCTTTGAGTCTTCCTTTACCGTGCTTCCCAAAGATCTTAATCAATGCCATTAAAAATTTTAGTGAAATGCCAATTTTTGGAGTTAGTGTTTTTAGTGTGTGTAATGCTCTCACACTTTATATGTACAAGGATTAGGGGGAAAAAATGAAATTATATAACTAGTCAGAAAAGAAAGGAAAAACCACTTGTGACAATTTTTCATTTTATTTACGAAATACTTTTAAATTCCGCTCTCAAGTCTAATCAGTTCAAGTATAATCGCTGACTTTCAAATGCTTGTATTAAGTTAATTTCTTTATCAAAATTTCTCTCTCAAATTATACTTAATGATGATGAGGGGGGGGGATTTTGACATAAATAGTAGTTGTAGTATAGGTATACTTGTGGCTCACCGACTTGTAAAAGTTGTGCCCAGAAAAGACACAACATCGTTTTGTAATACATAATTGTTCTTAAATGTTTGCACTGGAAAATAAACCATGTCCCAAGTGGCAGTGATCGCGATTTTATCGATAGCGAATAATCGCAATATTATTGAACAAAAAATCTTGATAAATTGAGATAAAATTTCGATTGTATCAAACGCGATTCTATAGAGATAATTGCGACAAGATTGAGAACAGTCGCCTGGATGTTGATGATCTCAATGATTTTAGGGCCAAAATATTGTAAAAAAAATTGCAACTTAATTTCAAAATATCGCGAGTTTTCCGTCGAGAAATGCTCCTTGGGATAAGGGTTGATTTGGACCTGATTTTTTGATAAATGATCAATTGGGCTTCATTTTCACAAAGAGAAACCTCTATTTTCAACTCAAATTTGAAGCAATATGTGCCATTCATTTCTCTATGCAGGTGGGCGCGCTTTCGTGGATCAGCCAGAAATAGTATAGCAAGTTCTTGTTAAAAAATGTTGGTATGTTCAACGAGTTCTACGTGACATTTTGATGGCGTTTTCAGAACTTAAGAAACAGCGATTCTTCGGAATAAAAAATTAATATACCTACACTCATGTGCGCTTCCCTACTTGCATGTACAATGAGTACATGCCAATCTGATATATAGTATACTTGGTATGCTTGAATACTTATTCATAGGCATTAGCCAACTAATTTTAGCCTTTCCCTGTGTCTCGATTTTGGTTTTGTCTTGATTAGAAGCATATTTTTTCAGTCAAATTTACTCATTGCTTTTATTTCAGGATGAATCATTCATTGACCTGGCGGATCGAAGATGGGCCATTACTAAAAAGTAAAAAATGGGAGATGATGAGCATGGGTAGATGGGTCTTAAGCCTTCTTCCTTGGATCGAGCGAAGACTACCCAAAACTGGGTCCTTAAAGACCGAACACATTCGGATAAGACTTCAATCAAAGTTCGTTCAAATGACAGGTAAATTTTTAGAGGCGATTTGAACAATTTTAAGCTTAGTGTTTTACACCATTACCCGATTTGCTCCCATAGCCTCAAATTTCTTTTAAAAAAAATATACATTAACGGATTATACTGAATTTTTTAATAGTTTATTTACCTACATGAGCAGACTGCTTAAGCGTATGAACAATCGCAATTTGTGAATACCCAATGAGGACACTGGAAGAGGAGTTACGGAATCTTCAGAAAAGAGTCTGTTACGCATCATGGCATTCCTTCACAAATTATTACAGCCCGCTGTCCGATCTACATCAAAATTTGAAGTTTTAGGTAAAATTTCAATTCAAAAAAAGAAAAGAAAAAAAAGGGGGAAAACACCGCCTCAAGACATGGTTTGTTTCCTACGCGAAAATTGCGTATATACTAACTAAACGTGTAAAAAGAACAAAAAATCATACCGTGTAGAGAAGAAAACGCTAGGTTGAGAAATTTTAAACACTATAAGGAGGGCGGATGATCCGAGTAACAAGCTTATTTTCAGCTGATAAGATACAATCATATTATTTGTATTTTAACAGGTATAACCTGTGACCAGACCAAGTG